TGCATATAGCAAGTGTATTTGCAACATGCTTATCAGTTGATCATCCCAAATCTCAAAATCTGAAATAGGAAATGCTCCAATGAGCATTTGCTTTGTCATGTTTGTGCTCAGAAAGTCTCAGATTTCAGAGCATTTTGGATTTCAGATTTCCAGATTAGGGACACTCAACCTGTGGCCCGCTCCTGTGAGGATAAGGCCAATAAATCATAGTACTATGATCTTTTTCTACTGCCAACACTCTGACATCAAATGTGCCAGGGTTCTTCTCCATACCAACAGCTGATTCTCCAGTTCTCTTCTCCAACTGGGTGTCCAGTGATTCAGTCAAATTCTATCTACCTGCAGTTAGCACAGACCCCGCAGATTAAGCCCTCAGTCCCACAAGACCTTGCCAAGACACCAACTGACAGGCTATAAAATCAGGGGTTCCTATGACCTCCTCTGGTTCCATAACTTGCTAGAATTGCCCACAGAACTCAAAACACTCTTTACTTACATGTACTGGTTTATTATAAAGAATGCAACAAAGGAACAGCCAAATGGAAGAGATGCATAGGGCAAGGCGTGGTTGAGGGGTCCTCTCTGGCCTGCCACCCCCTCAGCCTCCCTATGTTCACCAGCCCAGAAGCTCTCTGAACCCCATTATTTAGGAGTTTTTATGGAGGTTCCATTATGAAAGCATGATGGATTCAATCACTGGCCATTCATCATTAACTCAGTTACAACCCCTCACCTTTCTCCCCTCCTAGGAGGTAGAGGGTGGGGAGTGGGGCAGAAATTCCAACTCCCTAATCACACAGTTGGTTACTCTGGCAACCAGCCCCCATCCTAAAGCTCATGGGGCCCAGCAAGCATTACCATTAGCATAAACTCAGGTGTGGTTCTTAGGGGCTTGTTACAAATAACAAAAGACATTCCTATCACCTCATCACTCAGGAAATTCCAAGGGTTTTAGATGCTCTGTGCCAGGAATCAGGGACCAAGTATTTCTTATTATATCACAATATCATACTCAGTTATTTTCATATTACGTTACAGTTTTTATACATTTCTCAGAATGACTGTAGTGTTCATCGTTACTTTGAATTACAGTAGATATTTGACTTGCCACTTGGTCTTGTTAAATATAGTAATAAGCACATAGTACTAGATCATCATTATTTGGGTAATTCCCTTACAGCATAAATAAGTCCTTTTGTATTTCCTTGTGTTCTAATTTATGCATTTGAAAACTTTATTCTGAAGAGTCCACAGATTTCACAGGCTGTCTGAGGGGTCTGTGGCACAAAAAGTTTAAGAATCTCTGCTTCAGCTCCTGGAGTGCATTTTAGAGAGAGCATATCTAAAACCACAGAAAAGAAAGGGTTAAAGTACATTCTCTGTAGCCTTTGAAAAAAATACACTAAACAGTTCCCATCCAAAAATGTTTAAAATAAAAATAGCTTAGGTGCTTAAAGTCTTCAGCTGTCTAGAAAAATTTTATAATCCAGAAGGATTTATTCCCAGTGTTTCTGGGTTACTATTTTTACAGCATTTTTTCCTTCTGCAAATATTTGTTGCATGCCTACTATACACAGGCATCGTGTTGGAGATACTACAAGTTTATCACGGTTTTAATGCCTATTTGAAATATTTCTTTCTCATTACTTAAAATCTTTGAGGTCATTACATTTTTATTTTGCATTGAAATTATTTGTACATCGAGCAAATTTGTGGCAGATACTGTCCTAGGCACATTGGCAAAATAGACACATCCTACTGTCTTGGAGCTGGACATTCAGCATTTCCGTGTTTTATGCTCTGAAGTTTGTAAGGCTGCCTTGATGTACCACAAAAACTGCTTGCCACTGTTAAAATTTATGTAAGGCCGTTTTGGACTGAGCTTTTGCACTAGGCCAGAACAGACCAGACCAAACCAAAATGGAGTCACTCATGCTAAATGCCATTAATCAAACTGGAACTTTAAGGAAGCAGATAGATCCTAAAACAGATGAGTTTTTTCTGAAAACAGGAGATTCCAGTCTGTCTGAGTCAGCATAATAAGGAAGTCCCCCTTGCTTTAACCCTTAAAAAAGTAACCTGAAGTAAGCTGATGTCACTCAGGTGTTTTTTTCCTATTCTGTTTCTTCGTTTCCATCTGTCAACAGAAAAAAAGACCAAACTCTGTAAAATAATTTTAAAGAGATTTACTCTGAGCCAATTTTGAAGACCATGACCCGGAGCCACGCTCAAGAGGCCTTGAGCAGTGGACTCGCTGAGGTTGGGTTACAGTTTGGTTTTATACATTTCAGGGAGACAGGGGTTACGGGTAAAGTCATACATCAATATGTGGGAGGTGTACATTGGTTTGGCCCAAAAAGGTGGGCCATCTTGGGGGGGGGGGCGCTTACAGATTATAGGTGGGTTTAAAGATTCTTTGGCTTGTAATTGGTTAAAAGACACGAAGCTTTTTCTAAAGGCTTGGAATGTTTTAACATAAGGAGCTCTTTATCAGAGATAAGCCACTGGACATAGATTTGTTGTGTAAATTGAGGACCTGCAGGTTTGTCTTGCATACCCTTGGGCCTGTTAATGGGTTATAAAGGATGTCCCCAAGAAGGGAGGGGGGCATGATAAGGCATGTCTGACCTCCTTCCTCCTGGCAGGCAATTTAGTTTTAGGATATTCCTTTGGTCATGAGGAGGTCCATTTAGTCAGCCGGTGGCAGGGTGAGCCTTCAAATTTTATTTTAGTTCACACATCTTACAAAATCTACTGTTCCGCCATTGCTTGGTGGGAGTTTTCATTCTATTTTATAGAATGGAGGTGGCCCCTGTCTATGAAACTGGAATAAAATACAATTGGATCTATAGCTAAATTTGTTGTAATTTTGTCTTTGGCACCACTCACAGACCTTGTGTATTAATATTTTGTAAGGAAGCGGTTTTCACACTCTGTTCCTGTACACCCTTACAATGTCCAGGGCCGGCAGAAGGAAGGAGAAAGGCACACTGTGCTTCCTCAGCCCCATTTTAATCGAACACTCCTACTCTTATGTATTTGGGGTTGCTGGAAAGTTGAGGGTGGGCTGAGGTGGGAAAGAGTTCTGCTGCCTACAGAATGTAGGAATTTAGTCAAAGTTTTGAATGTGATTGTCATTATCTTTTGCTGGCTGATGTTATAGAATAAATTATTGTCGTTTATTATCAGTCTACACCAAAAGGCAGTTGGAATAACACCAGGCTTGTTGCCTCCAGGGATTGTAGAGAGTTGGCCTTTCCTTACCTTGCAGACTTCAAGATAATAGCTAGCATTATATTGAGAGCCATCATGTGCTAGGCTATTTACTAAACTTTCACTCTCATTAATTAATTTTGTCCTCAGAATAACCCTCCAAAATAGCTGGTAATGTATTTCAATAGACAGGCCACCGATTTCAGCACTCTGGCTGCAGAACGTCCCCCAGGATCTGCCAGCATTGCTTCTGCCGCCTCAGGAGCTAGGGCTGACGTTTTCCTGATTGCTGTGGCCAGCAGCAAGCGTCCCTTTCTATCTTTTTAAAGGTTATTCTGTGTCAGTTTCTGCTCCCAGATCCCCCTGCCCCCTGATGCAATGTTTGTGGTCTGGTAAGCAATCCTGGGCTCACTCTCCTAAGTTTTCCTATTTACCTCCCTCCCCCAACGAGCACACAAACAACTTCCTTACTGAAGCTGCAGCTTGCAGTCCTGGCAGTTTATGCAAAGGTTGGGATGCTTGTCGCATTTACCAAAACGGCTTACTATTGAGCAGAGTTCGTGATGGATCTTGAATGGGCTTTTTTTTTTTTTTTAATAAATAAATAAAGCTTTTATTTCCTTTGTGTGCAGTGTTTACAGTGAATGAAATCAATGCCATGGTTATCAGAAAGGAATGAAATGGTTCTGTATGGGTTAAGGTGTCAATAAAATACGTACTTGATAAAAGTTAGTTGCAGAATACTATGATCCCTTTTTCTTTTCAGTAAAAGAAATGACTGTTAAGTATACACAAAGAACAACATGGCAGAAATACCAAACTGTTAACTGTAGATATTTCTGGGCTTAGGATTATGGGTGACTTTATATGTTTCTGTATTTTTCTTTTACGTGAATGTTTATTAAACTAATTATTAGAAATCAAAGATGAAATCAGAGACGATTAAAGAATGCATTCTGTTGCTGTGTTTAAAAAGGAGGCTGGATTATTGAAAAGTAGTGAAACTTTAGTGTTTGTTTTCTTCGGTTCTTGAGGTTGGCCTTTTCACACCAAGGTGGGCTCCTCAGCATCTCCCTGCAGCTCCCGGAAGCAACCCAGGTAAGGGGGAGAGAGGGAGGGGCAAGGTGTTCCTTTTTCTGTCCTTTCTGCTTGGTAGTAACTGTCCTCAGCTTCTTGGTCATAAAATGATTAGCCTTTCATTTGAGCCCAGGGACATCAGCCAGTTTGGCCTAGAGACATCTCCCTGGTGCTAATTTGGATTGGAGGCCTAGGGACTCCCCAGGTGGGGAAAAGTATATGTAAGAGGGAGGTGATCCAAAGGTACAAATGTATACTTTATTTTCCTCCAAACGAGGGAATAGAAAGGGGAAGAATGCAAGAGCAAACCTTAAATTTTCTAGTTGATGCTGTAATTCTGATAAACTGATTTCATTCGTTGTAGTTTAAATACACAGAATGAGATTGTAAAGTGCTGGCTGTCTGGGGCTAGTTACATATGAATGTTGAATATTGCACATTATGCTGAGAATTAAGGCTACAATTTGATTTTTAAAAGACCAGACTGTTTGTGGCTTAGGTAGTGAGTGTTCACTGCTGTTTTCCTTCCCTAGTGTCTATGTCTGGGCCCGTGTGGGATGCCCTAGTGAGTCACCTGGGTTCTGAGACAGCAGTGCAGCCCCCGTGGGGATGTCTGTTTCTTGTTGCTTGTGGTCTGAGCCCTGCACAGGGAGCTTTTCTTTCCTGCTTCAGTCCCTCTAGGGGAGGAAAGCCTTACCTTTTTTTTTTTTTATTATAAATACTTTATTTCAACTAGAAGGTACAATCTCTCAGGGGTTTCATAGTTTAAAAAGCTACAATCACATCATGTAACTACATAAAAAACAGTGCTGTAAATGGAGCTGCTTGCCTTTGACCACATACATTTCTGCACAGCCCATATGGAATCTGCACAAAGAAATATCTTCTCCCTTTGCTCCAATTAATTGTTCTTGTACGTAAGTTGCTTTCTATTCCAGTATATCCAGAGTGGTGAAGTAACAAGGCCAGCCACATAGCCAAAGGTCGCCCCAAGCGTACAGGAGATGGGCCATACCTGCCATGGTCTTTCCCAGTCCAGTGGAATAGGAAGTGCTCTAAGCCATGCTCCTACACAACTAGAAATTGTAGTGATCTGGAGACTATTTTCCCAAATGATGTAACTCCATTTCTACTGAAAGCTCTTAGCCATGCTTTGAGGTTTGGTCCTAACAAACATAAACAAGGTATAGTAGTAAAAGTAGACAAGATAACTGCAAATAAAAATGTTTCCAGCACCAACTCTATTAGTGGTGCTCCATACAGAACAAAAATTATATGAAAGGTGAAACAAGACATAAGAAAGTAGATACAGCATTTCAAAAATCTGGTTACCTTGTGTGATAATGAACTTCTTTTAGAGGATGCATTTGGTTTCACTACGAAATATAACACTGGATTGACAGCAGTCACAAAACCAGAACAGATGCACAACCATGTCAAATGTGTTTCCAATATTGAGAAGTTCTCCAAGAAGAATGATGGAATGAAGACGCTTAGTATAATTGAAAATACACACAAAAGATGGGTATACAGTAGTCTCTTGATATCAATATCTTTCATGGCGTTTTCTTGGGTGGCTATCTAACTCTCCCGCCTGCGGAAGAGAAGGGGGAACTACTGCCTCCTACCATCAGGTACGACGGACTGCCGGAAAGCCTTACCTTTTACCTAAGAAATAAAGTCCTGCCCTTGGAGATCTGGCCAAAACCTAGAAAATTCCTTTGTTGTGTTTTTCATTGAGGTGGATTCTGCTTATAGACAAGCAAAGGAAGGATGTGAATTTCAGAGAGGGCAAGGCTGTGTGATGCCTCAGAGGCTCTGGTCACTGCGGAGTGACACCAGTCCCACTGCAGATGTGGGCCCTGGCATCGGGAAGAAAATTACCTCTTGAGAGTAGCAAAATCATGTCTGAGAGGCACGTTGAGAGCCATGCGTGAGGCAGTGTGTAGATACTTTGCAAATTGCCTGTGTTTTCTGGTCCAGTTTCTTTGTCTGTATTGTGTGTTGTGTTATTACAGCCCTTTCTCAGAGCAGAAAGCAGAGAGGGCATGGGGATAATGTGCTAACAAGCCATTCAGACATGAACTCCATTTTGGCTCTGTTTTTGAAAATTCTTGATGTGATCTAAAATTTTATTAAATCTCCCTTTTTATAGAAAAAATACATAATTTGGGCTACCTGGGAGCTGTGGTGACTGGTTTTATTTTTAGAAGGGGTTGGTAAATGTTTAAGTCATCCTATCTGCTCTTAATAATTTATTTGAAATACACTCTGTCCCGAGATTTTGTGTTTCCTTACCCTCTTAACTTCCTGAGCACTTCTTCTCCTGTAGCACTTGGCATTCTACCTTGCTCGGTCATTTGTGACCTCTTTATTCCCTCTGTCTAGACAGATTCAGCATTTTTTTGTCTTCACTAGTTTGTTCATCTCTGCTGTAAGCATGGTAGGGATCTGTGCAGTTTGGCCTCTTTTGAGCTATTCACAGTTTGCCCAGGGCCTCAATAATCAAATAATTTTGGGTAGGATGGTGCTGTGGATGGCATGGGGAGGAGACCGAATTCCCTTGGGATGTGATAAAGGACAAGTGATGAAACCAGGCTTCCTGACCTCAGTGGCCCATTAGAACTGCTAGGGGCACTTCTGAAAACTGCAATGCCAGGGCCCTGCCTGCAAGCGGCTGCTTCATTTAGACGTGCGGGTAGACATCAGGGCTGACAGATACTGGCCATTCTGCTGTGCAGCCACGTTGGAGTTGAGAAACACTGCATTCAGTGAAGGGAGCTGGACTTGGGGGGCTTGACGTTCTCATCCAGATTGAACACTCAGTGATTCCGTTCATTCTTTCAGCATTTATGCTGGCCATCCAACATTTTGACTTTAAAAAATTGTTTTAGGCCGGGCGCGGTGGCTCACGCCTGTAATCCTAGCTCTCTGGGAGGCCGAGGCGGGCAGATTGTTTGAGCTCGGGAGTTCGAGACCAGCCTGAGCAAGAGCGAGACCCCCGTCTCTACTAAAAATAGAAAGAAATTAATTGGAAAAACTAAAAATATATAGAAAAAATTAGCCGGGCATGGTGGCGCATGCCTGTAGTCCCAGCTACTCGGGAGGCTAAGGCAGGAGGATCGCTTGAGCCCAGGAGTTTGAGGTTGCTGTGAACTAGGCTAACGCCACGGCACTCAGTCTAGCCTGGGCAACAGAGTCTCTGTCTCAAAAAAAAAAAAAATTGTTTTAGAAATTCTGCAAAAATAATTTCATATAGTTTTAGTGATATCTTCTCCTCCTCCTTTTTCTTTCTTACCTTCTCCCACCCTCTTTTGTTAGCTCCCACAGCCATTACATTCTTATGTGACATCATAGTTTTAAACCTTTGTAGAAAGGTGTTGATTAGTCAGAAAGTTGTGGCGAACCTTTTAGCTATTTTAAAGCATGATGCTGGATTTTGTGTTTGCATAAACTATGAGGTTTAAAAACTACTAAGAGTCAATCTAATTTGCCATTCAGAACTAGGGAAGCTGAATAATACTACTTCTGTTTTACATGTGATGAAAGATCAAGACCCAAAGGCAGAAAGATGAGGCGGAGGGGTGGATGAGGGCCTGTACATCAGGGCTAGCAGTCATTCGCTTTTCCTCTGTGCCCAGATGCCTCCTCAGCCAGCTAAGGAGCATGTCTGATCTCTCTTTGGGGAAGATGTGACATATTAATCTGACCTGGCTAATTGCAAGCACAGAGCCGGAGTGGAGGCATTAGTTAACCAGGCGAAGTTGTAACAGGCAGGCAGACAGGATGACCTCTGTGTGGGACCAGGCTTCTGTGCCTCTTCCCATGTTTGTGTTCTACCACCTGTCATGTTATATTGGAAATCACTTATTGATTGATTTTTTTTGATTGATTGACAGAGTCTCGCTCCGTTCCCCAGCTGGAGGGCAGTGGCGTCATCATAGCTCACAGCAACCTCAAACTCTTGGGCTCAGGGAATCTTTCTGCCTCAGCCTCCCAAGTAGCTGGAAGTACAGGCGCATGCCACCATGCCCAGCTAATTTATCTATTTTCAGTAGAAACAGGGTGTTGGTCTTGGTCTTGCTCAGGCTAGTCTCGAACTCCTGAGCTCAAGTGAGATCCTCCCACCTCAGCCTCCCAGAGTGCTATGATTACAGGTGTGAGCCACCTCACCCAGCCGGAAATCACATAGTTAGATGTGTCTCTTTCTTCCTAGATTTGTGAGCCTCCTAAGGTCAGGGGGAGTCATGTTATTCATTGTAGGAGGCGTATTCCAATCTTCATGGGTGAACATGGTCCAGCCAGGCCGAACTGGTGCATACTGTGAATGTTCACATGTGTCTTATCTAGATAGTGTCAGATGGTTTTTTTCTCTCTAAGTGATTTAAGCAGTATGCACTAGCAAGATATTTTCTCAAGTGTTTTGTGTGAAATTCAAGGCACATAAAACAGAATGAGGAAATGCTTGATTTAATTTAGTTTCCACTCCCCCTCCTTTTACCTTATGACCAACAAATACACATAACCACTCATCAATAAAAACAAGCCATAAGTCTGTTCCTTCTGGAAAATAATTATGCAGGATAGATTATTTTCTGTTTGAAGTGCTTATTCTAACTCCTTGTAGTGAGAACATTTCATTCAAGGAACAAAGCACGTGTCCTGCCATATTTTTGAAGCTTTAGAATGTTCTAATATTACATAACAGGAAAAATGCCAGAGTTTTAAATACAGGCTGCTTCAGATTTTTAAAATATTTATTTGTTACTAGTTGGCCAGACAACAAAACTATAAACGTAAAGTGAAATGACTTTGATTCTAAATATTGTTTCAGGAACTCTTTCCTAAATCTACGTGAATGAAATTACACTTGCAGTATGTTTGTAATCCTTTAAAATCCCTAAATCCTTAAAAAGAAAGTTGACCCAAATGTTTAAATAAGGGCTTTATTTATAGAAATGAATATTTCTGATTCTCTTGGAGTGTCATTTTCTGGCTATTTAGGAAACAGTCTTCACTTATGCATACTCCAGAAACTTTATACGTTACTGTGCATTTGTTAGTATATGAATTCTAAAGAAACTGGTTTTGGTTGTAAACAGAGTGCAGATTTATTTTCAAAATCGAGCTTGGGTATAAACTTGAATAGGTTGGCAGAAGAGAAGTTTAGTAAATGTATATGTATCTAAACAGGGTCTGTTTCTTCATTAATTGCTGGTGATTGATTTTAATTATCTAATATTTTTGTTGTGATTTCCAATGTAAAAGGATTAAAAACCAAGCCTCAAACCGTTATTGAATTTATCCCAGTAGAATGCTTTTTGGATTCTTGTTTGTGCCATGGTTGGTTTTGATTTACTTTATCTTCAAATAGAAATGACGTAGATATTATTGCTCTGACTAAACCAAAAAAAGATTTTCACTAAAAGTACTTAGATTGTATCAGTGGGAATAAACTCTACTGGCCTCTGTGTATTTGCCCTAAAAAGGGTGTGTACTTTTGCAGTAAATATTATAACTTGAGGTATATATTATTACAGACTGAAGTTTCACCTTAAGACATTGCTCAATTCTGTATGTTTATTTTGTGGGGTTAGTACTGGCATTCCTCCTTTCTTATTTTTACGTGTCTGTAGGAGCTGACAACAGCCACTGCCTCAGCCCTTAGCCTGTTCTCAGTTGCAGACTGACTTTCCCTTTCTTGAAGATGTCATGCCCCCTAACCTCATCCTTGCCATTTTCCCCTCTTCTGCCTGCGATTCCTCGGTTTCTCTGTATCTGAAATGTTGGGGCATCCCAGGGGCCCATCTTTGCTCCCTTTTCTTCCCTCCCATATGTGAGCTGCTGACGCCCCAGGCCCGTTTGTTCAGGTGCCCAGTAAGTGCGGTTACTTGGATATCCTCCTGTTCTTACCCGCACAAAAGCAGAGCTCATTGCACTGTCTCCCCGCACCTGTCTGCTCTATACTCCCCGTGTGAGCACAGCTGTCCTCACAGAAACCCAAGCCTGGGCCCGGGAACCACGTGGAGTCTTCATGCCCTCAGCCCCCACCCAGGTCTCCACTGAGTCCTGAGGATCCTGCCTTCCAGACCTGTCCTTCAGCTTTTCTCTCAGTCTTCAGTGCTTGGTTCTTAGTTCAGGCTCTCAGCACGCCCCATCTCAGTTATTGGAAGGGATTCTAACTAAACCTCCTCCAGGCAGGGATACAGGGATACACTTACATTCATTTCACATTTCTATTATTTTATTTATTTATTTATTTTTTGAGACAGAGTCTCTGTTGCCTGGGCTAGAGTGCCATGGCATCAACCCAGCTCACAGCAACCTCAAACTCCTGGGCTCAAGCAATCCTCCTGCCTCAGCCTCCTGAGTAGTTGGGACTACAGGTGCACTGCACCACGCCCGGCTAATTTTTTTTTTCTATATTTAGTAGAGACGGGGGTCTTGCTCTTGTTCAGGCCAGTCTTGAACTCCCGAGCTCAAGCAATCCTCCTGCCTCAGCCTCCCAGAGTGCTGGCATGAGCCACCGTGCCGGGCCCATTTTACATTTCTGAATCCTTAGCTCTGGCATCCAGAGATCCC